CTTCCTCCTTTCCTTTCTTTGTAAGTAAATTTTCCATCCTGTGTCTGAAAGCTTATAGTGTTTCCTTTGTCCCTGTGCCCTAAATTTTCACAGTGATACACCTTTGTGTGTCTATCTTCATCCATTATGCTGGACATCTCTGGGTTCCTTCAGTCTGGAAATTCATGAATCTAAGTTCTGGGTAATTTATCTGACTCTAATGATGATCAAAACACTGATTCATTTTCTCTGTTAATTTTCCTAGAACTCCAGTTATGTGACCACTGTATTTCCTGGACTGTGGATCTTGCTTCTCACTTTCTAATGTTTTACTGTTGAAGTTTTTCATACTCTTCTCTTTTTGTTGTATTCTCTGAGAGATTTAATTTTGACTTCCTATATATTGAATTTTTGACAGCTTCTATTTAATCTTTCCAAACAAAAGATTAAAAAATATATTTATTTCTTCTAAAAGAGAGTTAAGACAGTTTTAAAAGCTTTTTGTCCTTGTTATGTTGGTTTCTTTGTTGGTTTTAAACACTGTCATCTGTTTGAACCTTTCACAGATTCTTAGGAATCTTTGCTTGTCTGATATTGTATGCCAGGTGAAAACTGTCTGCATGTACTTTCATAAAGGATAATCTTGCTGGTCCTTTGTTGGGGAAACCCTCATTACAAATTTGATTGTCTTTCTTCTTGGGTTGGTCAGGTTCACAAGAAAAAATGTTCCATTTTTTTGCCTAAAGGAAAACAAAACAATTCCCTCCAATACCAGCTGATGCCATCTTGGTGTGGACAGTCTTGGCCATTAGCACCAATATACAGAAGTCTACATGATCCTCTTTCTGGTGTAGAACACTGGCATTCTTCAACTCAGAGTCCTTCTTCTACCTTCTCCACAGACAAACCTTTAGTTTTTGGCTAGAGGCTGCAAGAGCAGTTGTCCAAACACAAGGAGGCCTGGATTGACCTAGAGTTTCAACTGTTTCCTGTAAAGTTTTCAGCCCTTTTTAACCTAGTGAACTCATTCTCTTGGTTTCCACAGGCTGTGCTTCACCCCCCACCAAGCCTTCAGCACACTGTGTGTGGTCTTGGCTGGTTTATGGCTGGATTTCCTTGAATCAGCTAAGCCAATTACCATATACCCACATGCCCAGGTCTTCCCAATCTTGCTATTGTCTCATCACTTGCATTTTCTATTCATAAGTCTTTGAAAAAATAGAAAAGGAGAGTATCTATTTTCTAAAACTTTAGTAGGCCTTTGGATAGAGTGAAATTACATGCCTGTGTCTGATCCATTATTTGACTTGAGAGTGCTTTTAGACAAACATCACATGCCAGGTACATTCTAAATAGTTCTCAGGAAAAAAGCTAAAAAATGTAACTCAACTAAATGAATTTGAAGATCAAGTCAGCTTTATTCAACAACTCCTGAATAGGCAGCATCCCTCCCACACAGCAGACAGAAAGAAGTTCCAAGAGTGCACAACACCAAAGGTATTACAGGCAGATGGGGAAGAAGACTAGGTTGTTTCATCAGTCGCTTACATGTGGGGGGCAGTGGAGACCTCTGGGTGGATACCTCACTGATGCTGATCAGAAATTCCAGGTTGACTGGTTAAAGGTTATGTTCCTGGGACAGGCTGAAACTATAATTAGGTCAGGTATTATCTTGCTTTGTGGACATGGGCTTCACACAACTGACTCCAAGATTGAGGTTAAGAACATACATGGAATTTATGTAAATTCACAGGAATTATAAACTTTCTACACTTTAGAAAGTTTGATGTGATGAGGGGAAATCTAAATTCTCATATCTAGGAGCCAGCATTTTACTAAACGCTGCCAGGATGGAGAAGGAAGTAGGTCCTCCCAAGTGGCTGTCCAGGAAAAGTATGGCAGAGTCATCCTGGTCAGGTGGTTCAGTTGGTTGGAGTATCATCTTGTACACCAAAAGGTTGTCGGTTCAAGTCCTTTCTCTCTCTTCCTCTCTCTCTAAAATCAATAAACATATCCTCAGGTGAGGATTTTAAAAGTGCTTCTGCTGAGATGTGAATGCTTAAACTGAAGTATACCTTAAGGGGAAAAAAAGTATGGCAGAGTCACTGTCAGCATTAAATTTTGTTAAGAAACCAAGTAAGATAAGAAATTAGAAAGGCTAGATTTGGTAATAAATATATCACTTGAAGAAATAAGTCAGGTGGAGAGGTGAAAAGTTTAGGAAACAAGGGAGAATGAAGGGGCAGCAAATGACACCTTGGAATGACTGACTTGAGAGTGGCAGAATGCATCAAACTGGGTTGAAGCTACTACTATTCAAATACTTTTCATAAAAGATTTACACTAAGCAAAGATTATCACTCACCTCAAAAATGATATTTATGTGTCCATAGTGTAGTAAGGATGTTAAGAGATTCTCAATAACCCTATCTGTATTTTCCTTTTTCTCCACATTATATTATTCTGATTTGGCCCCTATTTGTGGCAAAAGTCATTAGGGAAATTCATATTATCATGTGTTTTGATATCAAATAAAAATAATCCAGGTACCTAAGAATAATAAATGCCGTACTGGGTCAGATCAATAATTATAACTTATTTCTTCCTCTTTGATGATAAAAACAAAGGAGATTCATTTTTTGAATTCATTCTGATATGGGTGGTTTCATATCTGAAATAGTCTTATAAAAACAAAGATTTTGTTTGAAATCCTTCTACAAATAATATTAAACTATATTTAGTTGGCCACACATGTAGGTTCTGTTATACTGACATGTTCCAACAGCCCAACAACTCTTATCTGTGAATCTTTCTTTCAGCTATTTGATAAGGATCTCCAAGCTGCAGGGAAGTCACCTTAGATCCATATTTCACACAATGGTTTTCTGTTCCTCAGGTCTACTGCTGCAGACAATTCCCTGGGGCCATTGTTGCTGCCTTGTGTCAGAATTTCTCCTCTGCGTGGATCACAATTTATGAGATTAATTTCTAAGTGCACCCTAACTTTTATATGAGAGGATAAAGCACACTTTTCTTTATTCCCATTACATATTCCTAATTCTTTCTAAAATTTGGATGACCATTGGGGACTCTTGATCCATCAAGTGATTATCAGGAAACTCTCAGTTGAGCACTTGATTACATGCAACTACCCAATATTCCAGGGAGGATAAAATTAAAATGTTAAGTGAAAGTGTTTTACCTTGCTTGGTGTTCTCTAAGTTATGCTGTGTTAATGGCCACCTTCTTCTACAGTCTTATCATAAAGAAAAAGAAAGAAAGGGAAAATATGAGATTCTGACATAGACAATATAAAAATTAAGTCCTTTGATTACCTACATAGTCATGATGCATGGCTTTAAACAATTGTACTCACTTTTCTAAAAGTGATCTTTATCATTTTTAAGTGGTGACAAACTCCTAACATACATATCCTGGTTTAATGGGAACTTGCCCAAAATATACTCTATGTAGTTCTACTTCCTACTTTGGTTCCTGGTCAGTCATACCATCGTGTTTGTAGTTAAATAATTCTCCTGTTTATGTGGCCAGGTAAATATACTTGCCAAATCAGGAAAACATTCAGAATATTTTGGTCTAAATTGCTTAAAAGTTTTTCTTTTTCATTTTATATTGATTTGAAGACATAGAGAGTAAAGACCACCTCAATAGATCACAGCCTAAACATTCATTACAAACATGCATATACATTCATGGAGTAAAAGCACATTGTACATGAACCATTTCTCTGTTCTCCTATTTATTGACAGTTGTTTAATTACAACATAATGAACTGATGGTAAGTACAGAAGATGCCTTATAGAAAAGCCATTTAACCTTTCCCAAGGTTAAGACACAGCAGACAAAAACTGCCCCACCCAAAATGCCCCCCTTGAATGGACACAAAATAAATAGAAATTAATAAATACAAAACAAATCACTGCACAGCCCTTCACACTTTGACTGCCTTGGCAGGAACCTTGTGGATAATTCCAGCTCATAACACACATATAGTTAAAGGTTCCTGACTTTGACAGCAGTCAAAGTGTTACAGCATTGTAAACATAAGTACTTGGTGGGGAAATTTGGTCATGTTAATGGCCTATGGCGATGAGATTAAGAGCATGACCCCTTGACCTTTAATGACTCAACATTATAAGGAGTTAGATAGTAGCTTAGTGAGCTGTTATATAAACTAGTCAACCATTTTATTTAATAATGTGCTATGAGGCCTTGATTTACTAATAAAGAAATTTGTGAATAATAAGCACTGATCAATGCATTGATCAAAAAGCAAATAGAAATTAATTTAAGCACCACAAAATTTTGCCTAATTATATCTGACAGTCATAATACACTTTAGCACCATTTTTAAACCTTATATTTGCACACAAATGAGCTTTGTGTTTGTCAGTAGAAGCTATCTGAAAAAAATACATATGTATGCAGGATTTAAGATGGTACAAATGTATAGAATCCTGCATGAACAAAAATCATTGACAACTTGCACACCTGAAAACATATTCATCAAATAAATGTGTTCTTTTTTTCTCTTCTTGTACACAAAAAATCTACTGTCATCAACAACTTGATGAAATTGTATTGAGTGGCATGGGAACAATCCAGAGACTTAAAGTTAGATTTAATAATCTCTCCATAACTGAAAATATTATGGGAATTAAAATGAAAGTAGAGTGTTGTCAAGCAACCAAAAGATAATTGCTTACATGTTTAATATTTGTTTAATATACTAGTATTCCTCTGTTTTGGAGTTTAATGTTATTTAAATGAAGTCTGCATTGATTTTATGCATTACATTCTCTTAACTTCTCATAACCACAATAAAGAATGGAAAATGATTTTCCTAAGAAGCTATAAAATGAGTATTGTTTACTCAGGAGACAACTTCATTTGCAATTGTTTGCTTTTAATTTTGACTCAGAAAGATAAATGTCTATGCAATTTTTAAAATATATATAGCATTTATTTGACAAACTAAATTTATGTGAATTTCCCTTTTAATCTATCAAGTAATATATTATATACAGTTCCAAATCTGTATTACCAGATAGTTCATATGGATAGCAATCATCACATTCATTATCATACTGGTCCACTGTTGGAATCAAGATAATGTAATATAGGTATACAAGTTTAAAACCTCTTGAAGATATATTGTTACATTGATAAAGCAGGCAATTTTCTCAATGTCAATTAATGATTCTTTAGAGAAGCCATTGATAAACTATGCACTAATCAGATTTTATAGTGTCAAAAAACTAAGTTTATTAAAAGTTATATTAGCACAAAATTAAACTAGTAAACTCCATTTATTTCCCTCCTATAATATAAAAACAATATATATCTGTTTAAAATTATATGCCTAAAAAAATCTTTCTAGACTTTGAAGCCTGAAGCAAATTTTTATGGGTGAGTCTGTTAAACCCCTGAAAACAGAGGTTCCCACAGAAATGCTGATAGATTCTAATTTCATACAACACAAAGCTGCCCCCATGCCTCTGTTCTCTTATTTTCTCTCTCTTTAATATATATGTAATTTATGTATAAAGGGAAATATACCAACAGATCAAGGCATTAGGTATTCATGTACTCATGATGTACCTTACACACAACACTATATTATGGTATTTACTTTGTGTGTGTGTGCAGTGATTTAAGGCACATTCCCCAAAAGCAAATTTATTTAGTTGGCTTATCAATAGACAGTAGCATTTATACTCAGCATTTCATGTTCCTCAGGGGAAAACAGTTCTAAAAAAGGTGCAACCAATGCAAGAGATTGGAGGTGGTGATGGAATAACTGAGTTGATGTCTTTGCATGGAACTCTGAAGGACGATATTGAGGACAAAGGCATATTTTCTGTGCACCATATCTGAGGTACAAGGCTGCCCACTTTTGCTTCTCACAAAGGAAAGGAAAAGAAAACCAAATTGATTTTTAAAAGGTTAAAATTGACATAAATGCAAAGATAGACACAGACTGCATTAGAAAACACAAATAATGTTTCTCTTCCCAGCCATCTGTATTTTTGACTAACAAACAGAAAAGAAACAAAAATAATTTCCAGATCAAGAGAGAGAAAAAACCCTGGCATACAACCACGCTTGTTTGGAATTTATAACTGAAAGTCACAAAGTAACTAAGATTGTGAAATGTTGTATTTATAAATTTATAAAGGAATAATGGATTCCAGGTCAGATACAAAAGAAGTGGCAAAAAGAACTAAAAACCTAATTTCATCCAGGCGGTAATATAAACTCAGGAGCTCTAAGAAGACATGCAATAACATGGCCTTTTTGAAATTACTTCAGTGGTAGCAAAAACTATGACATTGATTTTAATATGGAATCATTCATACAAGTAAAGTATGTTTTACCTTCACAACTGAATTAATATAGCGAGGAAAGAATCAAGTTCAAAGTGGCATTATGATAACAGATAAAACATGTCCTGGTGACTTTTCCAGTAAACAGCTTACATCAGGCTTTATTCATCCACATCTTGGCAAGGAACATAGATTCATATCAAAGGAGGCTGTGCAAGTACCAGCTGTCCTGTCCTAGGAAACAACATCCTACATTCACATCTCACCAAAGCTGTGGTATGTGCCAGTCACACATAAAAAGGCCTGTGCCAGAAGGATTCTGCCTGGACCCAGTCTTTCTATGAACCAAGTGCTACAAACATGTATTTTGAGTGATATTTTATTGCAGAGAAAAACAAGTGGATAAAATACTCATGAAACATCTTCCTAAGTCAAAAAGATAATCATTTTCTTCATGTTCTCTTTCTCACTTTCTGGTTCTTACATGTGAAATAAGGGTATGACCCCTTACTCCCTGAAGCTGAGTGACCTAACATGACCCAATGATCACATCTTCATATCATATTTCTGTTTAACAGATTTTCTTCTCCCTTTTTGAGGGCACAGAATACCAGTTCTATGACAGAGTACATGGCAGTTATGTGGGTCAGCACATCATTCTAGTTTACCATGTTCTAGTCCTACATGTCCCATGGACCCTGAATGTAAGGACACGTTGAATACAAACTTGACCTTTACTCTTGGTCCAATGTTAGTATAATATACACTGCTCTTTAAATTGAAACTGTGTAGAATCTTCAAGATACCTTCATAGATAAGTATCTTTTATGTGGAACTTTTTATAACTATGATGTATTGACCATGAGTTAGTTACCTTATGTCCTCATCTTCCTTCAAGGACTGATGATATTGTGAATGCTTGTGAAGTGCTATGACACAGCACTCAGGATCTCATGCCTTGCTTAGCATAAAGAATTAGCATTGTTTAAAAACCATTAAGCTCATATTCCACAAGCAGACAATTATGTTTCAGAATCGAAGGCTGCTACCTCAGGACTCAACCAGAAAACTGACTGAAATTTTACATTATGATATAGATTTTCACTCAATTTCTGTGTATTTGCCAAGTCAGTCTTTGTTCTTAGACTTTCTACATTACTGATTTAAATTTAAAAGTAGACACATATGGTAGATTGATAAATATTTGTACATGGATGTTATTAATCTGATCTGAAATATCTCAGCATCACTACAAAATTACGCCAATGGAAACAGATGAGAAATGATTTGAGAAGTACATGGAAAACCAATATTACAATTCCATGATACTAGGATGCTAAGGTAGCTCTTTTCCTACTACTCTAAGTATTTGATGTTCTGTGATTAGAGGCATATTTCTGCCCTAAGGCAATGCTTTTCTCAGGTGAGTCTAGCATTGTGTATCTCTCCAGCTGAGGTGACTGAACACCTCATGTTCACATCTGTACCCTAGAAGGCAGTGCCTAAGTGTCAGATATGTTTATGTAGGATGACTCTCTTCAGCCTTGGCTGATTATAGACATTGGTAGATCCCATAGTCATCACTGGTGTGAAGACACTGAAGTATTTTATACTTGCTAAAGTAAAATTTCCAGTTCTGTTAAGGAATGTGCTATAATAGGGTTTTATATTTTACAAAAGACTCATTTTCCTCCTCCTCTATTTCTCTCATGTCTAATCAATGTCATATTTATCTTTCATGTTTATAATGTGGTATTAGGCATTTTATTATATAAAGTTCTAATTTTTAAGATATAACTGATAAAATTTTTCTGATATAGCTGTAGTTCCCTCTTAGGCAATGTGAAACCAATAACATAGATCCCTACCCTCTGGCCATCATAATCTGTGTTTAAGGCAAATTCATCTCATGAGGGTGTAATGAGATGGTCAGATCCTTTAACATTATTCACTTGTTCACTTTCATGACATACATGAGGTTCCACTTACAGCCATCTGGAAGAGCTCATCTAAACTTAACATTTTTAGTTTATACACTATTTCTCTGTCTGACATCTATGATAATTTGGAATGTGACCTTGAGAGCACTGAAAATTAAATTAACATTTTTCTTTTTGCTGAAAGATTTCTCCATCATTCATTAGGTTATTTCAGCCTATTACAATCTCACAGACTCAGTACTTTGTATAAATTACTGCCTTTATTAGTTTATGGAAACAATTCCAAAACTTATAAAAATATTTTCATGGCTCTCATATTAACTCAATCTATTTGATTATGACATCATTCTTCTTCAGATAGCACAATGAGTTTAGTCAATATGGACACACTGGTTATTCCAATATAAGGCCCACAAAGTTGGGTGTGTATTTGTACTACACTAGAAATATCAGGAGAATGAGCAAACTTGAAAGTTTTACTACTACCCCTAAGATCCTGTCCACACATCATTCATGTGTTGAAACTACCAGGGTGTTGGGGAATGTCCTCATCCACCACATCTCATTTTTAAATCAGCCATAGGAAGGGAATGAGATAAGTACATACAAAAAAATTGTGTGTCACCAGAAAAGAATTGCAAGCAATCTGAGTAATGAATGTTGTATTTGCTTAACTCAGTAAGTCAGTCTCTGTCCTTTATTACTTAGTACTCATTTTTGTAAATTATTACTTAGTAATTTATTACCTGATTCAGAAAAGCTCTCTGATTTATAATAGAAGTTGTCATTGCTAGTATCCTACAGAGTTCTCTAACTGATCTGTTACCTTTCCATCTGTAAAGAGCATCAGTGCCCACAGTTCTGATAGCCATGTCGGCAGATACTGTGCTCAAATAGGTCAACAGTTCAAGTAATCTAATCACATACACTCCAGGTCTGCTGTGGATTTACTGCTTTATAGAGAACACAGACCGATTGGCTATTGTAATTAATTCCTGTTAGTAATACATAGAGGAATGATGTTGGCTATAATTATAAACTATGCAGTTAACTTATGTAAGAAACATTACCTTGTTTACATTGGTGTTTACAAAAAGTAATGAAAACAATGAAAAAGAAGAGAATTATTTCTTGGGTGTTCATAGTATGCCTTCATTTCAATTTGGAAAATACTAGGTTTGAACTATCCATGTATTAGTGATGAGATGATGGAAACTATTTAACAAGTTGTATGTTTCTATTGATACTGTGCTGTTACATTATTTGGTTAACTGATGGAAATTTATTCCACAGTGATTTTGAATCACAATCCTCATGTTCTAGGTCAATTAGTCATGCTCCCTTTCAAAATTCCATTAGGATTGAGATTGCTTTCCCTTAACCCCCAGTGTGAGAGGAGTCAGCAAATACAGAGTGCCAGGTACACAGTAAATACTGAAACCCCATATTTGTGATTGCATTGTGCATAACTTTTTTTATCCATTGTAGTCTCACAGCCTAAAAATGTAAAGGTTCCAGTAAAGAGAGAAGCCATACATATCTTTTCTTATCACCTATATCTCATCTCATATTGGAGTAAATATAGACCCATCCTTGTCTATGACATCCCAGGATTAAAGAACCATAGCTGAGTCTTGTTCCAAATGCATCATTATTTTTTAGCCCTTATACATTTTGAGTCTTAAGATGAATCAGGATTTTGTGACTAATGAGTAAAGAAGTTAAAGACTAATTATTCTGTTTCTTTCCCATTTTAAAGAAAAAAAAAACATTACCTATGTAGGTTAATGGAACTACTTGATGATTTTTATATCTCCAAAATGACATAGTTCCTCATTTCAGTCTTTAGCAAAAAGTAGCTTTTTGTCACTTTTTCCTGAACAGGGTCCTAAAAGGATTAAACCCTCCCACCAGCAAGCATTGTCTAAATGAGTTTAAGTGTGCAGTCAGCCCTCCATGCTCAGTGGATGCAACCACCTCCGAATAAAACCTGCATCATCTACATGAGAAGCATGCAGTCAGGCTATAGGGGGTGCTGCCCTCACACACAAAATCTATTGGTATCTCATCAAATCATCTTCATTGTATGATGTTCACTGTAAAACCATTTCTCTTTTTGAACTGGTCTTTTTTTGTTAACCTCACGTTGGATATGTCAAGGCTGTAAGAAATAAGTTAGCAAGGCTCTGTCTGCAACATGGTAGCCATGATTAAAAAATGTTTTCCCCAACACAATCATAAAATGTTAAACTGAAAGAAAGTCTCATTTCCGTGCTATATGGAGTATAAATGTAAAGTCAAGGCAGCCAAACTATCCATTTCCAAATAAGAATGTATACCCGCACTCATTAAAAATCACCTGGAAATGTGTATTATTAGCAAATCAGTAAGAAATTCTCACTAGTATAAAATTCCTGCTTTATATAAAAGCCATACTGGCCATTCAAGTATTTTGAGGTTTTATTTTCCCTTATAGTTTTATATTTGTACTAAAATGATAAATTTAAACTTGAAATTATATTAAATGAAAATTAAAAGTCACTTCTATCTCCAGGGTATTTTTCTGAGTGTGTCTGGAAGAACCAAGCATCTGTCTGCACACTCGACACCCACACCTCTCTCCACTTGAAGGAAACAGCTCACCCTCACTGGATTTCAGAATAATTAACCCTCCAACAAAGAAGCAACATCAGATTTCCCTTCATTTCTGCCAGTTTGCAAGTTAAAGATCAAAGGGCAAAGACATAGAATAGGACTGTTCAAGATAAATTTTCACAGAAGACAATGTTTAAATTGTTAATGACAGTCAACGGATCAATAATCAAGGTCAAGGCAAGCTGTTCATTGTTTCAAAAGCTAATCTTCCAGGAAGCTGGCTTCTCTGAAAAGCCAGTGACTGAGTCACAGGGTGTGTCCCTTCTGATCATCTCTAATGAGTTCACAGCCCAGTGGCTCCAAAGCTTTTCCTCATGAGAAGCAGCTTCTTGAAAATCAATAAAGAGGTCTGTCAGTTGCTGACTTTTCACTAGGAAAAAAATATTGATATGAACCTGCTCCACAGGTCACACAAAAATGACTGTACTGATGTTAGGACAAATGACACTCCACAGTGAGATGCTTAGGTGGTGTCTTGGCTCTGTCAGTAACCAAATGGATGGCTGGACACCGTCCATTTGGAAGCCACACAAACCCTTTGAGAACTATGGTCACCATGCAGGACAGTCACTTCAATTCACTTTACAGGGGCCATATGCACTGCATGTCTCAAGGCGAACTGAACCCCCATGCAATGGATTTTAAAACAGAAACTCAGTATGTCTAACCAATGTAAAAGAGACTTAGGCTGTTATCACTGGTTCTTCAAATAAAATCTCACTCTTACAAGATACTTAATAAAATACCTTTTTATTTGCAAGGAAGTGTTTTGGCAAGTCACATCACCTGTGTTTGTCATGATGCATTTCTGTAGGACCAGAAGTCACTTAAACATTGCACAGGGTTGTAGGATATCTGTTTTAAAAACCTGACATTCCTGAACCTGAGACCATTGTCACTATTGCCCAGTTGTTCAAAATTCACCATATAGCCAAACTGACAACACAGTGACTCTGAAAGGTGATCTGATAGTTCTCAAAGGGTTCCACCATTGGATTATAATGTCACATTGCCTTATAAGCAATTGTCACTTCACACCATGTTAGGGACATGCTGCTTCTCACTCTCATAGAATGAATATTCCCAACAGACCCAGGAGAGGCCTAGGGCAATGGCCTAAAACAGCTTGGGGAGGTTCCACAATGACAATGCAAGGTGGAAGGAAGGACACACTTCTGGAAACACTTCCAAACAATTCAAAGTCCTGTTTGAGTAGAGCTCTAAGTACAAATGGGCTGGGACAGTAAGGACATGGCTGAGAATAGCTGTAGAAAACAAAAAAAGGAATGTTATTAAGGCTGTTACTATATTGCAGAGAATTTGGCCCCTGTTGGCTGGAATGGCTCCCCAGTCTTGACTTGCTGCCTCAACACCAGCAAGCACAGTAGACTTCCTGGAGAGGTCAGAACACGCTCTTTGGAGACTAAGCTGTTCTGGGTCTTCCACTTTCCTGAAAGCTCAACTATGAGTTGTTTTGTTTAACATTTTAAAATTTTCTTGGCTGTAAAGCAAAAATGTGTGGGTTCTCCATTTTGCTTTTCTCCCTACCCTGCAACCCCAGAAATGGGCTCAGACTTCAGAAGGACAATCCTATTTGAAACAATTAGGAAGAATCTTTTTCATGGTTTCCTCTTCTGGTATTACTCCTGAAAATGTCCTGGGCATCAAATGTGCAGAGGAAAGGCCTAGAATGAAAAGACAAAGAAAGACAAAGGACTGAGGGATGGTAGGGACTTGCATCATGGAGGTGTCCCCACATCTGAATTTCCACTCATGCGCAGGACCAGCAACACTCTGGTTTGAAAGGTCAGCCCCAAACCAGGCTGCCACCAGCCTGCTCTGAGCTAGGTACCAGCATAACAGCTCTTGTCTCGCATCTCAAATGATCACCAACTCCTGGAAAAGCAGTTGGAAGCCCCGTGTCACACCCACTCCTGCATGGAGCGTTTACAGTACAGTATGTGCCGAGGAGTCCCTTTCCTCTTGAACTGGAGCACAGTGTAGACAAGTACCAGCAGGCAGAGGGCCAGGATGCATGGGATAACAATGGCAATGGCTTTCACAGTGCTGGCCGTGTGGTCCACTTTGATGACAATGTCCACATCATCAGTAGGGCTATGTCCTTCTTTGTGTCGGTCTGTTGGCCCATCACAGCCCATAAAGTCCTTCAGGATGGATCTGGGATATCCAGGTTCTACTTTGAGTATCTGGTTGTTGAATTTCCAATACTCCTTTCCTTTGTAGAAATATGTAAATCCTGAGGGTGGAGATGGGGGAAACAACACACAAAAGAACCACTTTTGTGAAAGTTGATGTGTACAGACATTTAATTAAATTGACTACATAGACCCTAGCTGGTGTAGCTTAGTGGATTGAGCATGGGCCTGCATACCAAAGGGTGGCCAGTTTGATTCCCAGTCAAGGCACATTCCTGAGTTGCAGGTCAGGTCCCCAGTATGGGGTGCATGAGAGGCAACCACACGATGATAGTTCTCTCCCTGTCTTTGTCCTTCCCTTCACCTCTCTCTAAAAAAATAAAATCTCAAAAAAATTGACCACATAGAAGATGTATGTTAAGACTCCTTAATGTGTTCAGGGAGAAGACATTATTTTGAGCTGAGTTGTGTGCTGAGATGGATTTGGCCACTGAACCCAAGGGACTGTGCCCTCTGATTCCTGGGGAAGCCCAGCCTTAGAGAAGTGCCCTCTGCTGAGGGTGTTGAAAGACCAAGTGGAGTGTATCTAACCTGTCTACCCTGGAGCAAAACTCTCTCCATTGCTAGCTCAGAGGACTGAAGGCACATAATACTATCCACCTGCATTGATGATTTGCCACACCTTATAAACTGAAGTGCTATTGACTTCAGGCTGTGACTAAGGACATTCCAGGAGACGCCTCACAGGGAATAACACCAGAAATAGCTGTAATCCCTCTAAACAATAGGTTTCTGTCCATCATTTGGGCCAGAAATCATAACAAATCATAAGTCACATGACTAGAAGTGTTTTCCTTTGTCTGCTTGGAACTTTAATAAGTAAACAGGCATTTCTAATATTTTCTGCACTAACCTTATTTTTGGCTTTAGGTTACACACATTGTATTTCTTCCTTTGGTCTCATTATATAACTTTCTTATTCACTTATCCTATGTTAAATCCATGTCACCTAACTATATTTTACAGAACTTCTAAAGCTTTTATTAACCCCTTTAAAGTAAAAAATTAGTAGTGTGTAAATAGATCTATAATTTTATCTTTAATACTTCCAACTAATACATATTTCATGGGTGAGGAGGTGGTATATGGCAGGCTCCAAGATTTGGCGATACAAATGATTTATGTTTCAAACTATTAGAGATACGAATAATAGACTTTGCAAGTTTATGACAATTAAACTACAAGTATGTGCGTTTTTCTTAGGGCTAGTCTCTAAGTTTTTGTTGAGCACATACCCAATTTTTTCTTTTCGTTCATAACTTCTTCATATCAATTCTTTGTGACTACACCTGTTGGATTTCATTCTTGAAACAAGATAATATTCATGAGACCAAAATAAATGTTTTAATATTGTAATTACTTTAAAAACTATATTTTTGGAAGTATCTATTTTCAATAGTGTCTTCTTTAGAGTTAATAATCATTAATGAGGGTTTTCTTTGTCCCATGTTATTGAACACTTTCTCTGGAAGAAAAAGCCCTGTGTTAAAAACTTAGTAAATGACATTTGATAATCTCATAACCACTCTGTCAAGTACAGTTAGTTGCCTATACTTTCCAGGCAAAGACACTGTGGCTCACAGATGAAATAAAATGCCCAAGACCTGGTGAAATGTTGCTGTAGCTCTAGAGCCTGAACATGAATGACTTGTCTAAGATTGGGTCCTTTAGAGATCTCCTGTCTTTGATCAAATACTCTTTGGTTAAACAGCACAGGCTGTGATAGATACCACTCCTTAAACAAACAAACAAACCAGAAAACTGACATCTCTCAAAAAATTTCAAGTAGGACAGAGCATCACTCCAGGTCACTTTGTTTTAGAAGTCACTCTGTTTAATGCCATATAGTCTGCCATCAGTTTTTGTAGCAAAGGGCAGTTTTGCAATCAGAACAATTTGCCAAGTAAAAACAGGTGTATGTATATTCAAATTTTTCTGCAGGGAGCTGCTGTTTTGACCCTGCTAATGAATCCAATGCAATTACTCAATAAACTTTGATGAAGCAATGTAGAGGACCTTACAAATGATAGTCTGTCGGGCGATCATCATCCAATAATGGCATTGATCTAGAATTCAACAAACCTTTCAAATAGGTGAATGTACTTCTTACAACCTAGAAGCTAACAGCTGGAATTGTCCTCATCTTCTAAGTTTTAGTCCAAGCTGATTAGTATGAAATTACTGGGTATCACACTAAAGTTCAGGAGTTTCTATTTTGGTGTTTATCTGGTCTGCAGGTCAATTTCATGTAACACATGACAATTACAGAAGTAGAATTTAGTTTACTGAATACATGTGTTATCAATAATAAGTCTAATCTTTCTAATAAGAAACAATTTGAGGGAGGGTGAATACAGATTACCACAATTTTAGTATAAATTAAAAACTCACAATGATGTAAAGTGCAGCACAGGGAAGAGTTAATAATATTTTAATAACGTTTTATGGTTCCAGATGGGTACTAGACTTATTAAAGGATCACTTCATAAGTTATATCAATGAATATCAACTGTAATTTAAAAAATTAAAATGAAACACATGATTTAAAAAAAACACTGTTGAATAGTGAGTACCAAGAAGAAATTATTTCACTCTATTCTGCATGAGTCAAATATTTTGATTTTTGAAGTTATTTTTGAGGACTGAAAATAAAGAGGAAAATAAGAAAGCTGTTAAGATGGTTACAGGTGAAAACAAAGAGGCTCACAGCTCAAGAAGCTACATTCCTAGAAATCCTGGGCTTGTCTAGTGTGTCAAAATGAAACACTGAGCCCAACACAAGGGACCACCAGTTACTTTAATGATACAATATAGAAAAATATGTTTTAGCTTTGCCTCTTACTTGGAGATGGTGTATTTGAGCACATTCTGTGAGGCTAGAATGTTCCAGTTTCCAATGTTAGATATGTAATCTTACCACTTTTATTATCATAAAAAGTTACTTAAAAGTTGCTGATATTTTATTCCTCATTTATAGATAATAATAAATGAGGTGAAGAGATAGTTGGGTTGGACAATTAAATTAGATAATGAATTCATAGAGTTCAACCAATATACAGCAGCTTACTCAGTAAATGGTCGTTCTTGGCCATATTTCATTGGTCAAACTGGAAGAATTAAAATCAATATGTCTTTTGAAGGCATATTTCACTTTAATACAAATATATCCTTCAAAAATCTATAGCTGAATTTAAAGGACTCTTTTGGAAATTATCATGAGGAGAGAATTCCAAGGAAGAAATTCATACATTGCTGGAAGGGTGGATAGACAAACCATTTCAAAACTGTACCATCTCTGATTTTGTGACTAATAAATATCACCTGTGTGTACTTAGTCTTACAAGAAATTACTTTGGGTCTAAATATAAATACAAATGTATTTATTTACTAATTTGAGATTCCTCTCTTTCATACAAACATAATAGAAACTGAAAAGTCTAAGTTTCAAGTAAGAATCCACAGCTTGAGATTTATGTAGAAACCAAAAAGCAAAATAAAACTAACAACAACAAAAACAGAGATCTTGCTGTGGGTAGATTCATTGACATTGCTGCTTACAGAACAAGAGTTTCAGACAATTCGGAGATCTCCACTTTAGGAAGTGAAACTTTACAGCAATGGCAAAGTAAACTTAATTTCAACAACTAACATTTATTGAATGGTTACTGTGTGACTGCCTTTCAAGAGGTTATGATAGGCATGTATGTTGGTGGTTGTAAGTTGAGATTTTGAGTGAGAGGGATCAGGTCCCAAAAGAGGATATTCAAGGAGGATTTCCTGAAGGATGAAAATTGAGCTTATATTGAAATACCGAAGAGGGGGTGGACCAGTTAAGGTCCGGAAGACACAAATGTGATAAAATTTTATTTGTAGATTTTTGTCATTTGTAAGCACTGATTTTCCCAACATGAAAATTTCTGTTAGTATTTTACAAAGTTATTCTTTGCCATGCGAAAAGAAAACATTCATTTTTGAATATAAGAAAATTATTTCTCTCCTTCTGAAATACACTTTAATGTGGGAAGATAATTTTGTTCTTGCAAGAAGTGTATATTTTCCTCTTATATTTATGTTATAGGCTTTTCATGCTCTTGAAGACCCACATAATTATAATTTTCTTCTGGTTCCTATTATAAGTCATTTGACAGGGTGAGTTTCTTTTCTGTTCATTTCAGAATGACATCTCTTTCCCTTTCTTCATTCTGGGACACTGTGTTTAGATTTTATTTTGAATTATTGTTATCATGGGTAGTCCTATTTATTAATCCCTGCATGAGGAGAAAAGTGTTCAGCCTTGATATATGCCAACATCAGGGAGTGTGGACTATCAATTGCTTGGCTAACTACCACTTAGGATCTGGCTGAATCTCAAATCCTGAGAGTGAGCACAGGGGGCTTGGGCTACTCTGAACTGTTTCTCATTATTAAGCAATTATGCCTGGCTGTTCTGAGCTGGTATCTTCCTTTTTTGCTGACAGTCTCCGCCAAAGAAATGCATGAAAAATTTCACCCTCAACATGCCCCGTTTCCAGGTGTTTCTGTGCCTCAGCTACAATTACAACTTATTTTTCTGTGACCAGCTCCCATCCCATGATGTGTTATTATCTTCACACAAATTTTAGAAGAAAAGTAGGTGACGTCACTCCAAAGGTATTCACATCCTTCATTTAAAAAAATCACTTTCATCTTTTTCTAAATAAATTGAGTTTAAAAAATATCTTGAGCAGAATATTAAATGTAAATGAGTAAATTTATATATGCGGTAATACAGTATGATATAGCTCTAGTGTGGAGCTTACTAATGACTTAATACACCAAAAAACTAGAATATAATACAGAAATATGTAGTAAATCACAAAATGTATAATTCACATGCTGCGTACCGTTCTCCTTGTGCACGAATGCTCCCTGAGGAGAGTCAGGGATACCTTTCCAGACTGTAATGGGTTTGGGATAGCCAGGGTCCATGGTTTTCATTTCTTCACTATATCTCCAATACCTAAAAAAGGATAAAGGCAAGAAAAACAACACATGCATAGGAAAGGAAATTATGTATACTGACAGCAGTAGCTAACATTCATCCTTCTTGCTGCATGCCACCTGTATACCTGGTAATGATTTTTAGAATTGATTTAAATCACTGTAAAGACAGTGGAACCAAAATATGTATTCTGTTTTCTTTCCTGCATATGTGAAAACTAGGTATGTTATTGTGCATTTATTTAGACTTTTATAATTAATTTAAAGAACTAGATAAGTATATTTACAGTCCAAAAAGGTAGCATCAATATATGTATAAGTCAAAGGTTTCCATTTTTTAACAATCTCACTTAGACAGCTGAACATTTTTTCAAACAATCTGAAATAGAATCTTGGTTCATTTATTTATTCAACATTTATCTAAGTACCTGCTCTGTGCCTGGCATTATTATAGGTGCTAGAGATACAACTTTGAACTAAATAGACATGTCCCAGTTCTCATCAGTCTTACCTTTTAGGGTATTTTGGGGGTTATGAGCAAAAAACCAACTTATCAAAAATACATACTATGCTAGCAGGTGGAAATATCTATTAAGAAAAGAAAGCAGATCAAATTATCCCTCAATATGGGTTAAGGGAACAGAGAGGGGTCTACAATAAGCTGATGTCTGAGCACAGAGTAAGTGAGCAGCAGTAGATGTGGTTTTGGAGGAGGAGCACACCAGGTGGAGTGAGGAGTCATGGAAAGTTCTTGTGGCGGTGACAAGCTTGAGTGCCAAACATCCACAGTGAGCTTTGTGACCAGAATTGAGGTAGCACGGGGAGCGAAAATTAGTGTGCAAACTGCATCTGCAATCATACAGACCCTCACACTACAGCAAACCTGAAACCCTCCAGGGAGATGTGAAGCCACGGTCCACTGAGCAGAGGAGCGTCGAATTGTGGCTTTGTTTTTGCTGCTGCTGTGAGTTTAATGGATGGAAGGAGGTAACATAGAAAAAAAGGACACCAATTAGCGTGTACACTGTGGAGCTCTTGGTAATATAAGGTATGGAGATGTCATTTTGAAGAAGTCCCAGGGCTAACAGTGGTTCAAAAGCACATGTGAGAGATGGCAAATAACTCAGGAATTGGAGTCTGGCTTTCTGAAGTAAGATTCCAACATTCAGTGCAGTAGGAGCAGGGGCTGTCTGGGGCGACTTAAGTGTCCTGAGTCTGGTCTTAGGTATGCTGAATTCAGGTGCCTATGAAATCAGAGTGTAGTTGTGCATGAGGTGACCAGGTGTCTGAGTGTGTACTTTGACCAGGTCTTGAATGGAGACCTCAGTGGATGGACAGAAAAACAGATAAAGGTAAAGTCAGGATCCCCAGATGCCTAGTTCTTGAGAGGGCATCTAAGGGACAAACTGAACACTGTGACTCTGGATTACATATTGGACATATGTTCTCAAACAAACTGATCTCTGGAATGTTCTAGGGATTGACAGTTTAATAGCCTTTCTTATGACTGTCAGAATGGTCTAGGCATTATATGGTTTAATCACAGTGCACCTGAGATGGAAACCACTGTTTCTACACGAGAAAGAAGAGTTCTTGGAAGACAATGAACGACATGTAAATTTATAACCAACTCTGTCTGATTTTAAAGTCTCTACTCTTTCCTCTACACATAACAAATATGATTTCCAAATTTACTTGACAAATATTTTTAAACATCTGTAACAATCTGCTAAAGATAGTGTTTGACCAGCAGGTTTGGGGAATAATACACTTTATGTATAAACTTGGGATTAGGCATTTTGGTTGAAATCATGAAAAAAAATTTCTGGTCTTCTCTGAGTATTTTCCTATTCTGAGTCAGTGGTGGATCCTTCATCTACACAGCTGTGGGATCTTGTGAAGAGGGGTTTTCTCTAGATTTCTACAAACCTCACTCATATAATATTGAGGATATTAGCATTCTCTTCATCTTCAGTGCTCACGTAAGAAGGAAAAAAGGGAGTTTCAGGAAGGGTTCCAATACATCAGCCACAGGCCAACTTTGTCCTGAAGGAAACACAGGGTGACAGGTGTGTGTCACAGATTGTTATCAATGGATGGTAAGAACAGATCATAGATCAGAGAGCTTCTGGAAAGGCATTGAGCTGAGACCACAGTGACTGGGCCCATCCTTCTGAAGAAGAGAAGTCAGTAGAGCATCATTCTTCCAGCACTGAACTATGTTTGCATTCATACTGTGTTCAGGGAAATATCTGCTTTTAAATTATTATAAATAATCTCTCACAGAACATTCTGTTATGAACACAGAATGGTTAATAGGACTGATAATCCACTCAAAATCTCCAGCTCTCTTTTCTCAAGGCAATATCTCAATGGGGCTTACAATAGTCATACAGGTTAACCAATTGGTTTATGCAATTGACCATAAAAAAATATCTCACAAAAAAACTGTCAAATAACTTACTTCATGGACACTAAGAACCCCTTTTGTTTTTCTCCCACAGTTTATGCCTCTAAAAGTTAGAATGCTTCACTGTGTTAAAATTTACTAGGCAGGGTGTTCCCATCATGGGATAGATTTAGTAATGATTTTTTCATTACAATAAATGGCATTTTTCAGATGACATAAACATAAACAGTCTTTATATTTAGCTAACATAAAAGTTTGGAATAACTTAAAATCCTAGGGACAATAGGATCACACTATATATGATTTTAGAAAGGTCACTATGCACTTAAGAACCAGGTTTGTTCTCCAAGGAACAGTGATTACAATGTTCTTGTAACAACACTCACATATTTTACAGTGCTTATAGCTATAAATTTATATGCATACATTATTTTATCTTATTTTTCTATGGCCACTTCACATTATTTTTCTATGATGCACCCTACAAAGACACTGTCATTCAGTGCCTTCACTGACAAAGCATTGGGTGTCACATTATTCAAATGTAATGATTTGGTCATAGTTCCTCTTGAATGTTGCAGAGTTGAAGCTAACTCTCTCTGATTCATGGTTAAATATGGTTTTCTATCACAACACTGCTCATTTTTCCTTGATGAGGAAACTATTAATCACCTGCCATTCTCACTCTCTCACTACTAAAATTATTAATCTTTATGTGTGAGTATGATTTTCTTCTTCCCCAGTTCTATCAGTCATCCATCCATTTTTACACTCCAACAATTCTCTGAGCACCTACATAAGATTCATGAAGATTACATTTCAAAGAAACAATAATGGAATGCAAATTTTATTGTACACTCTTTTTTTTAAAATATTTTATTTATTTATTTTTAGAGGGGAAGAGAAGGAGAGAGGGAGAGAAACATCAATGTATGGTTGCCTTTCATGCATCACCTGCTGGGAACTGGCCTGCAGGGAACCGGCCTGCAACCTGGGTATGTGCCCTGACTGGGAATCAAACCGCGATTGTCTGGTTTGCAGGCCCACACTCAATCCACTGAGCTACACCAGCCAGGGCTTATTGCACACTCTTGTAGGACCATAATTCTGGTATGAATTTATCATAAGAAGCATATTTCTCCTTCTCTCTGATAGAAGATAAGGTAATACTCTAATTTGAGACTATTTTACAATCTGAAAATCTCAGTGTAGGCTCAGACTCTCAGGTTATCTGCTGTATGCCACCTTTGATACACACACACACACACACACACACACACACATCAGTATATTTTATTGTAATGAGAATCCTCTCACTATATCCAGAGCTGCTCTCTAAAGGGCCCATGGCTAGTTATAAATACAAGTTTGCATTTTAATTTTCAAAATATTTGAATATATTTCAACATGAACAAAAAGCTCATTCCACTGATTTTTTTTTCTGTTTGAAAAGTAAGCTTAGGGGTTCTTTGAGAAGTATATTAATATGTTCAGATGGAATGCTGTAAATAAAATATTTGTCTGAGTTTAAAATGTAGTTATTGTGATGGAATAAATTTTGGAATTTGTGGAAGATTGTCAGAAAGTGATACAGGCTATTCTAATGAACCTTACAGTTTTTCTTCTGATATATCAGTGATCTCTACCTTTAAAATTATGACTTTAAATTGCTGAATCTTTGAGAGAGGCATTAGGGATCAATGCTTCAAAATTTGTTTAGAATGAGATTTATTCATTATTTTTTAGACTTGATTATGGGTCACAACCATAAGAAACAAAAAATGTCCATGTAAGAATATAGAACACTTTCTTAAATTCCTTCTGTGAGAAGAAAAATAGTGTAGACAATTCTGGAATGATCTGCTTTAATGAGGTGTTGCTGGATACTGAACTCCAAATGAACAAAAGTGGCTCCAAAGGTTATTTCACAAGACTCAGCAATGTTTCCTCCTTTTCTGTCTTATTTCTTTGTTCAGAGTCTAGGCTACTTGCTTCTGTTAAGTTATCACAAACACAGGTCCACTCTGTTTTCCCTATCCAAATAATTATACAAATCTCAGTTTTCATGAATGTTCTTAAAAGTGCGACAGGATTGAATTATCGATTTATACTATGATAAATGACTTTTAACAAATACACATTGAATAATGACTTCATAAACACACAACTTAAGCTGAAAGAAATAAACGTTTGATTACTAGTGATGATCAGAAAAATAAACAAACCAAACTGATCTATATTTTGACTTCTTTTTTATGGTACTGGCATTTTTACTGTTGTTCAAGTTATTCTGACTTCTTTCTTTGAAATATACTAAATGTCTCAAAGGTTAAGCTTAGAATGAAGTATGGCAATAGAGTCTTAGACATAGTTGTGAGAAGATGCTGAGAGATGATTTAGAAACACAGCATTTTAGAGCTAAATGCTATGGAGATCTGACTGTATTCATGTATCATCAGATTATAGCATAGGAAGAAAAGGTCAAGGAAGAACTTGGGGATGAGGTCCATGCTGTCTATGTGGCAAGGAAGCTAGAAATTTCCATCAGAAATTGCAGAGCTAGTTAAAGAACCATCATTTCATTTTCTTTATCTCTATAGTTAGATTTCATGAGGCCCCTGCTTGCAGTCTGATTTATGTCAGGTATCTCAAGCCTGTGCCTCCAACCCACCTTTCCATCATTTTTTTTAAAGCAGAAAGGTGACAGTGGGAGAAAAGGAATGACTAAGTATAGACAAATAAATTCACATTATGCTTTTTCTCAAAAATATACATAGAAAATATATAAAATGTTAAAATTAGTAAGCACTGTAAATATACAATGTAGAATAGAAACATTCCTCTATCCCTTATACAAAATTTGTAACAATTGCTGTTTTTTTTTTTTTTTTTTTTAAAGATTTTATTTATTTATCTTTAGAGGGGAAGGGAAGGAGAGAAGGAGAGAAATATCAATGTGTGGTTGCCTCTTGTGTGTTCCCTGCTGGGAACTGGCCTGCACAGGCAGGCCTGTGTGATTCGCAGGCCCGTGCTCAATCCACTGAGCTACACCAGCCAGGGCTACAATTGCTGTTTTTGTGTTTGAATTAGAGAACTCACGTCTTCTCCATTAACTTTTTAAAAAATATTTTATTTATTTATTTTCTTAGAGAGAGGGGAGGGAAGGAGAAAGAGTGGGAGAGAAACATCAATGTGTGATTGCCTCTCCTGTGTCCTCTACTGGGGATCTGGCCTGTAACCCACAACTAAAACAATAGGCATGTGCCCCGACTGGGAATTGAACCAGAGACCCTTTGCTTCACAGGTCCATGCTCAATCCACTGAGCTACACTAGCCAGTGCTCCATTAACTTTTAATCCAGGATGAATTATTTATAAATATAAAAATGTTGTGACTTTGGAATTATATAATTTGACAAATATGTGAAGTGATCTGTTTATAAAGCATCCATAATTCAGTATTATAGAAGATCACACATGGAAACTAACTGTAATCTTTTCTTTAAATATTCTAAAACACATAAAAAAGCTATTAAAAACAGAACTTAAAATTAAAGTAATACTTCTGTACATTTTGTTGTATTTGCATGCACCTTCTCAAGTAGGAAATAAAATAATTAAACTTCTTTTCTAATTTTTGGTATAGTCTTTATTCTACCATAAATTTGGTATCTAATTTTCATTGATTCCACTAATTTTAGGTAACCCACATTTAATTCCTAAACTTAAATTTTCAATAAATGCTAAACACTCAGAAGAAAACATTAAAAGAAACACTACAAGTGTGAAAAAAAAGGTTATTAGGGAACTTCCAGCCAAGATGGAGGCGTAGGTGGAAACATTGTGCCTCCTCGCACAACCAAGTTTAAAGATAACAAAGTTTTAGTAAAAAAACACAGAAATTGAACTGTATGGAAGTCCGACAACAACGAACCATTTAGCCAGACTGGTAAGAGGGGCAGTCAGCGGCTGGTGGAGTGGGACAGGCTGGAAAGATCTGCCGGACCAACCCAGGAGCAAAGGCAGCGGTTGGCAGATCCCAGGTGTGGGGTGGCAATAGGCAGACCCAGTGAAGGCGCAATGTGGCTGGCTGACTGCGTGCCTAGATAAGCCAAGGAAAGGAGCGAACAGTGAGACAGACTGTGCAGGCTAGGGCCCCAGCGGCCGGAACTAGAGCCCGAAAGCACCAATTGTAAAGACTTTCAGGGTAAAGGTGACTGGAGAGGCTCCCAGACTCACAGAGAGTTTGTTGGAGAGACCCACAGGATCCTGGAGGGTACACACGCCCACACACCTGGGAGCTGGCACCAGGGGGGCTAGGTTTGCTTGTGGGAAGCAGCAGAGGGGACCAAAATCCCAGAGAGAGTGAAACAAATGCAATTGCCCCTCTCTGACCCCACCGCCACATACAGCATCACAAATCAGTGACTGGGTCACCCCACCCTCATGAACATGTAAGGCTCTGCCCCTCATACATAACAGGCACAAACAGACCAAAACATTATGACTCAAGAACAGCTCAAGGCCCCAGAGCCTATAATTCTAAGTGACCAAGAGATAGTCAACCTTTCAGATGCACAGTTCAAAACACTAGTGATCAAAATGCTCACAGAACTGGTTGATTTTAGTCACAAATTAGAGGAACAAATGAAGGATAAACTCATTGAAATGAAGGGAAATGCACAGAAACCAATAGTGATGGAAAGGAAACTGGGACTCAAATCAAGGGAGTGGACCAGAAGGAAGAAAAAAATGACCAAACAGAAAAGAACGAAGAAACAAGAATTCCAAAAAATATGAGGAGAGGCTTAGGAACCTCTAGGACATCTTTAAACATTTCAACATTTGAATTATAGGGGTACCAGAAGGAGAAGAGGAACAGCCACGAGTGAAAACCGTATTTGAATAAATAATAAAGGAGAACTTACTCATTCTGGCAAAGGAAATAGACTTCCAGGAAATCCAGGAAGCTCAGAGAGTCCCAAAGAAGTTGGACCCAAGGAGGAACACACCAAGGCACATCATAATTACATTAGCCAAGATTAAAATGAAGGAGAGAATCCTGGGAGCAGCAAGAGATGAGGGGACAGTCACCTACAAAGGAGTTCCCATCAGACTGTCAGTGGATTTCTCAAAAGAGACCTTACAGGCAAGAAGGGGCTGAAAAGAAGTATTCCAAGTCATGAAATCCAAAGACCTACAACCAGGATTGCTCTATCCAGCAAAGCTTTCATTTAGAATGGAAGGGCAGATAAAGTGCTTCTCAGATAAGATCAAGTTCAAGGAGTTCATCATCACCAAGCCATTATTATATGAAATGTTAAAGGGACTTATCTAAGAAAAAGAAGATAAAAAATATGAACAGTGAAAGGACAGCAAACTCACAGTTATTAACAACCACACCTAAAACAAAAGCAATTTAAGAGGACAGCTAATCAGGAGCAGAACCATAGAAACGGAGATCACATGGAGGGTTAGCAACAAGGGAGTGGGAGGAGGAAAAGGAGGGAGAAGGTACAGAGAGTACGTAGCGTAGATGGTAGATAGAAAATAGACAGCGGGGAGGACAAGAATAGTAGGGGAAATATAGAATCTAAAGAACTTGAGACACATGGAGATAAACTAAAGGGGGGAATAGTGGGAGAGGGGTGTGCAGGGTGGAGGGGAATGAACGGGGGGATAGGACAATTGTAATGGCATAATTAATAAAATATATTTTTAAAAAGTGTTAAAAAAGAAATATAAAAAGAAAACAAAAAAGGTTGTTAGGTAATGATATGGTAGTTTTAGGATCATCCATGAAATCCTCATGGAAACTATATAGCTAAGCTTTTGTGTTCTGTGTGAGTTCACTTCTCCTGGCCATCTTCTCAGCCTTCTCATGCCTTTTGGAACAAAAAAGAAAGGAAGGAAGAAAAAATCCAAAACAAAATTCCCCAGCCACTGGTACTGAACCTATTTCTAAGCAATTAAACTCCCTGAGGGATGTTATTTTAGAGATAATATTGTAGGTCTGCAGACTTCCTTTCCTTAGTGGGCCTCATGCTGTGAACTGATTTCTCCACTCTCCTTTCCTGCTCTACCACATTTGTGTCATTTTCAGAGTCATTTATGCTTTGTGGCCATTAAGTAATTATCATCTACTTGAATAAAATTTTTGTTTGATTAGTCATTTATCTTTTATGATTTAGTAAGAAATGAGTGAAATCTGTGAACATTTTGCTATGAAAATATATAGACAAATCTAACGTACACAAAGTTAGTAACAGAATAAATTTTAAAGTATGCATTCTAGGCAAATTATAGGATTTTTGGTCTCAGAGACAAAGCTCAATGTATGAAGTCATTTGTAATCAAAAATTGGAAATTGCAAAATAAACAAGGTTGATATCCTTTCCTAAAGCAAAACTAGCTTATTGGACATTAAAGCCTGTCATTTATACCTATTGCTGGTACTTAAATAAGTAGTGTCTTAATAAATAGAATCGATGACTAAACTGAATTTATTTTATATTTTTTAAAGATTTTATTTATTTATTTTTAGAGAGAGGGGAAGTGAGAGAGAAAGGGAGAGAAACATCAATGTATGGCTGCCTCCCTCCAGCCCCCAACTGAGGATCTGGCCTGCAACCCAGGTGTGTGCCCTGACTGGGAATGAACTGGTGACACTTTGGTTCACAGACTGGCACTCAATTCACTGAACCATACATGCCAGGGCAGGAATTATTTTAAAATGTTCACAATGAACTGTGCAACAGTGTAAGAATTTAACTTTTAATATAAAAGCACAAAAAAGCCTTTGCTAAAAATTTTTAAATAAAAAAGTAAAAAAATTATTTTAACAAAATACATTGTAAGGGTGGGTATACACTGCCTATACAGCTTTAAGGCATGTTAAGGTTACAGAAAAGAGAAAGAATATATACTATATATTTAATTTCATAAGAAAGCCACATTATTTGGGTGTAGTAGAGGAAAATTTACACTGACTGTTATTTTAAAATATGTTAAAACCATTTTCAATTCCAGATTTCAATAATTCTTGTCTTGATATGCAAACAACCAATTCTTTCATCAACAGTACTTGCCTGTGATAGACTAGAAATATCAGTTACTCTAAACAGCACTGAACTGCTTTACTCTGGTGAAGTGTGTACTGACCTGTTTCCCTTGAAGAAATAGGTTTTCCCAACGTCCTCCCACCAAATGGCTGAATCAATGCCATGAGGTGGAATTCCACTCCCAAGAGTAATCAAGTCATGAGGGTAGCCTGGTTGAAGAGTCGTGTCCTTAAACACCCAATATTTGTTACCTGTATGAAATAAGTGCAAATTCAGAATACACTAATTCAATGCCAGAAATTAGAATATATTGATTAACCCTGCATTAAAAATGATTTTCCATGATATTCACATGATAACTTCACAGCAGTCACAGCTGAATCAAGGATGGTATCTTTGAATCCATGCTATTTTCTAAAGGAGGTATAATAAATAACTATTTAGGAACCCAATTAGAAATAATTTAAGAAATAAAGATACATCTATAACTTGCTAAAATAAAATAGTTCTGAATCAAAGATCAAGGATGTTTTCTCTGGGAACCAGAGGCCCTGCTTTTGTCTAAGTTTGGGGTTACTGTATAATTTAATGATTCGATATTTGTATATACTGGGAAATGACCACCATAATGAGTCTGGTTACCATCTGTCACACTAAAACTTTTTTTCTTGTAATAAGAATTTTAAGATCTGTCTTAGCACCTTTCAAATACACAACACAGTATTGTTACCTACAGTCATTGTGAGGTACATGACCTCCCCAGGACTTTGTTTTATAACAGGAAATTTGTACTCCTCAGCCCTCTTCAGGCATTTTGCCAATTCCTCCAACCCCTCTATATTCTGGCAAATGCCAGCTTGTGCTCTGTACTTATTACTTTTGTTTGTTTTGTTTTTGTTCTTTTTAGATTGCACTCATATCTGATATAACATGGTATTCGTTTTTCTGTCTGACTTATTTCACTTAGTATAATACCCTTCTAGGTCTTCTAATGATGCCGCAAATGGAAAGATTTCATTCCTATTTATAGTTTATTAATATCCCACACTTAAAAAAATCTACTCACTAATCATTGGACACCTAGGTTGCTTCTATGTATTGGCTATTGTAAATAATGCTGGAATGAACATGGAGGTACACATGTCTTTTTCAATTAGTATTTTTATATTATTTGGATAAATACCCAGATGTGAAATAACTGGGTCATAAGGCAGTTCCACTTTTAATTTTTGAGGAAACCCCATACTGTTTTCCACAGTGGCTATATCAGCCTGCATTCCCACCAGCAAGGGTTCTTTGGTGCAGGTAGCAGGAGAAATGTTCACAGAAGCTTTCTTTCCATGTTGCCCATGTGTCTTGAGAAGGAAAGAACAGTATGTGATGAAAGAAAAGGTTACAATTCTTCCAGGAAATTCTTGTTATTGTAGAAAAACTGTTTTTTTTCAAATATTTTTTAAAAATAAATACTTCTCTATACTGTTGGAGTTCTCCATTAGTAATAGGAAGAAACAGTAAGACTTTCACTATAGAAAATGTCAATTGACTCCTTTTTCTTTTCAGATCAATCTGCAGGAAATTTTTCTAAAAATGCACTATACTATATTTAGAAAACAAAGAAACAGAAAACTTAGCAAACATTTGCTTTCAGGTCACATGATGATGTCCCAATAGTAAATTGTACACACACACAAAAATAAGAAAACACATTTCCTGCTGAGTATTTGTGGCATAGAATTCAAGAAAACAATTCAATGCTGATTATGAGTTATACATTTAATTTTCTAGTAATTACACAGAAAATACAATTGTACATTTTTTTCTTGATGCGAAAAGATTTTCCCATAACAAAGTTGAAATGACTTTATTTCTATTTTTTTTTTTTTTTTTTTTTTTTTAATTTTATTTAGTTATTTTTCAAGTACAGTTTTTTGTCAATTTTTCCCATCCCAGCCTCCCCCTGCCCCTTGCTCCCCACCTCCCTCCCATTTCCTCCCCCCCCCCTTAGTTCTCGTCCCTGCGTCCTTCCTATTTGTTCCTCCAAATCCCTCCCCCTTTTCCCCTTAACTTCCCTTCCTTCTCCCCTCTGGTCACTATCCCCTTGTTCTCTATTTCAGTGTCTTTGTTTTTGGGGTTTTTTTTTTCTGCTTACTTGTTTGTTTTGTTGTTTAGCTTCCTGTTAAAGGTGAGATCATATGGTATTTGTCTTTCAGCACCTGGCCTATTTCACTCAGCATAATGCTTTCCAGTTCCGTATGAGATTCACATTCAACTATTTTCTTTTTTAACATAGGAGAGGTGGATTTTTCACTACATTACCATCAAAAAGTTTGATTTTCAAGGAAATTATTGTTTCTTTGACAGAGGAAAATATTTATTGATTTTCACATGGAGTTGATATAGTTAGGAATAAATGGAAAAAACTGGTCCTACTGATGTAGTTCTTTGCAGAAAGTAGAGGAAAATACCAATAGGTCTTATTAAAGACAGAGAAACTTTGCAAAAAAAAACCCTTTATCTGTCCATCCATCCATCCACCCATCTAACATCCATTCCCCAACCACTGAATATCTGTTCACTAGGAGTCTATTACAGCCACTCACTGAGGGAGCAGTGGACACAGTGACAGAAACACTTGAGATCCTTGCTCTTGTGCAGAAGAGAGGCCAGACACTAAGCAAAGAACCATGAAGAATTGTCAAAATACATGCTTATTCCTCACCTTTAACAGGAAGCTAAACAACAAAACAAACGAACAAGCAGAATAAAAACAAAGACACTGAAATAGAGAACAAGGGGACAGTGACCAGAGGGGAGAGGGAAGGGAATTTAAGGGAAAAAAGGGGAGAGATTTGGAGGAACAGGAAGGACACAGAGATGAGAACTAAGGGGGTTGGAAATGAGAGGGAGGTGGGGAGCACGGGGCAGGGGGGGCTGGGATGGAAGAAATAGACAAAAAACTGTACTTGAAAAATAACTAAATAAAATTAATATAAATAAATAAATAAATAAATAAGGAAAAAAACATGCTTATTCTTACCAGGAAAAGGGTCTAAAGACTTTTAAAATTTTTTACAAAGGAGACAGAGCCTTGTGTAGAGGCTGAATCAAACCTGTTCTCCCTAACACCTTTGAACTGAGCCACTGCCACTGATAAAATGCATTATATTGTTCCAATGTTCTGGATCTGAAAAATGGTTGGGAATTCAGCCTGAGACAGTTATTTCATAGGTTAAAGAAGTGACATGCTGCCCTGGCTGGTGTAGCTCAGTAGATTGAGAGTGGGCTGTGAACCAAAGGCTCACAGGGTTCACGTGCCTGGGTTGCAGCCCAGGTCCAGGTCCAGGTTCCCGGTTTGGGCCACATGAGAGGCAATGACACATTGATACTTCTCTCCCTCTTTTTCTACCTTCCTTTCCCTCTTTCTAAAATAAGTAAATAAAGTATTTTTAAAAGAAGTTAATACTCAAAACCATACATAATTGCTAATAGATTTGTACTGCAGTCCAGGTATTTTAATTCAGCACTCAACTTACTATTCCAATTGACTCTTAACTGAACACATCTACATTCCATCCACTTTTAGAATTGTTGATTCCCTGCTTCTTTCCCCTGTATCAAGTGATGACTGCATGTTTATTACTGGTAGAATTTATTAATTACTCCACTGCATCAGCTCATGCTTTGTTCACTGTATCCTCAGTCATCTGATACCTTTGGTGACTTTTTAACTTAGAAAATAAACTGTATTATTGTTTCCTCAGAATCCACAAAACTCTTACACATTTATATTTTATGTCTTTGATTATAGTGGTCAGTAATCTAGGGCCAACAGCTTCTGCCTGCATTTGTAAATAAAATTTTATGAGAACACAGTCATACCTATTTATTTACATAATGTCTCATCTGTTTTTAAGCTACAGTGACAGAGTTTAGTAGTGACAATAGAGACCATATTGTCTGCAAGGCCAAAGGTATTTACTATGTGGCTTTCTACAGAAAACTTGAGAACATACATTCTTTAATGACTGGATATTCTTTTACAAAAGAAGGCTGCACTTACATTACCTACTAACTTTTGTATATTGGGATTACTATAGATCAACACTAATATACTTATTGAGAATACTCCAGGGATTTAAAAAATTTTCATAAAGAATATTTTCTTTCTTAGACTATGGTTTAACAAAGTATTCAACAACTTTGAAATCAGATAGAAGTAGGGGGTGACAACTCTTCCAATTATTAGCTGTGAGAACTTGGGCAAGTCACTAAAATATAAGCCCTCCTTTTCTAATTTGTATTTAAGGCACTCACACTTCTCATTTAAAGTTCTAGAAATATCACAGGACAAATGTATAATATACCCACACCCTACCTAGCTCACAATCCCCCCAAATGATAACATATTATCATACAATACAATATTTCTCCAATCAAATTTACTTGCTACCCACTCAGATAAATAAGATAAATAACAAATGCTTAATTATTGTACACTGATCTATGTCAGTGTCAACTGTTTGGATTAAGTTTTAATTTCTGTATTGCTTATAGATTGGTTACTCAAGATATTTGAATAATTGTTCAACTCTGGAGGTTACACAGCTTTTTCTTTACCAGAACCTACTTTTCCAGGCTCCATAATATTATCAAGTAAGCAGAAAATTTTGAATATTTAGGCACATGTGGAAGCCATTGAGTTATAAAGCTTAGATCTCCCTTTAAGGAAAAACTGGCCCTTCAGCTGAGTAACTTCAGTTAGGCCAACCTTGAGCATGGCACATACTTGATCCTGAACCTTTCTGCTCTCTGGGAGACAATTCTGAAAGGCAGTCTTTGCTATCACCTTTTTGGGTTCCATCTTTTTGGGAACCACCTTTTTGGGTCCTCGAAGTCCCTGTCCCATCTGCAGCACAGTCCCCAGCTCTACAGGCCAGTAGTGCCTCTACCCCATTATTTTTTACAGGTTTATAAATTCCTCTTTGTCTGCATCCCCAGAAGCTCAAACTGACAGTAAATAAATGAAGATGGGAAAACTTTTAGATACACAAGTAGTACTAAAGGGAAGATATGGGAGGCTGAAGGATAAATAAGAACAGCTGTAATAAAAATATACCATACACTTTTTGAATTGTTATAAATAAATACATATGTGTTTGTGTGTGTATGTGTATATATGTATATATGTGTATATATGTATATATGTATATATATATAAAGGGAGATTGAAAAATACTAAATGTTTGGCCTC